AAACAGCATCACTATATCAGCAGATAGGCTGGTTGTTCCTTCATATTTTGTTGATACTAAGCACTAGCATGTTGGTACATGACTAAATTTATATAATTTGCATACTAATTACATGTGGCTGTTTTCAACTAATAAAAACCAATGTTTTATACCAATAAAACATACAAAAAGGAGAACCAGAAACAAATATTTAATTTGGAAAGTCGTTCAGAAATTAATAAGACCCAATTAATTAATTAATTTTAATTATTTACCAATTAAATTAACACACAAGTACTTTCAGTTCATCCTGCTTCAAGATACTGGTCAAATATCACTTAAATTGTTTTATTTTTGTTACAAGTTACAGTAACTTAACAATCACTATAAATATCAACCAAGTTAAAATTCAATGTAACCAGCATGTACAATTTGACAAATACTTTAACTGCCAAGATGTTGGCCAGTATTTTTTTGCACCAAATTTTGTCACCATGATTTTGTTAAAGATGTAATATTATGTTTTTCCTTAACTATTGCCTTACAAAGAAATGACAGCAAGTAATTAATTAGTTTGTATTCATCCTGAATATTCATTATTTCATATTTAGATTTTTCACTGTTACTGACCGCAGAAACCCACATTCTCAAGCTTGTACTTTGTCTCAGTATTTTGACCTTTCTTAATCTAACGATATTTGTTGTTATTCATATATATCATGAGACATTTTTTTTTCTGTTGTGTTTTACAGAACTAGACAACATGGGTGATTCAGTGACCTACGGGACAATGAATAGCAGAAGACCTGTACGTGAAGACTCCATGATATCTGCTGCTTCTGTGAATTCATCCACCACAGTTGAGGAGACAATGAGGAGAAAACTCAAATTCTTTTTTATGAATCCATGTGAAAAATATCGAGCAAAGGGCAGAAAACCTTGGAAATTAGGTCTTCAACTTTTTAAAATTTTACTTGTGACATTACAGGTTTGTAGCTTTTGTCTTGACTTTCTCATAAGATGGAAGAAATGTTCTTGGAAGCATTTAACATCAGCTAAACATTAATTAATGTACATAAATACATGTAAAAACACCCTTGAAGATAATTTTGCAAATGAACATGACAAAGAATCTTAATGTGGAAGAAACATGGTGGGTTTATTGTGTAAACAAACTATAAAAATGTGGGAAAATTTGATAATAAACACAAAATTTGTTTATTCATGGCACTTTATATAGCTACGTGCCATTTAAGCAAATCCTAATTTAGCCAAAGTGCCAATAATTTGATTGTAAGAAGACATGTATACTTTTAAGTTAGCTATGTCTTGAATTAGTCAAATTACAGTTCACTAAATTAGCTGAAATAACGTATTTTACATGCAGTAATATGATAAAATAGACCCACCAATAATTGATAGTGTCAAATATTATGTAAGCTGTACATTGTTCTAGTGTTGACTTTTCTCACTATACTTTGTACATGTCACAAATATAACTTTTATCCTTTCTTTTGTTTCAGTTGGTTCTTTTTGGTAATCATCAATTCTCAGTTATTGATTTTGAACAACAAAATGTTGAAGCATTTGAGCAGTTATTTCTCTATAGTTGGGATTCTAGTTTTGATGGTTTATATTATCCAAGTACTGCTGGTTCCTATGCAGTGTATGATGTAGACACCTTTTATGATCGTCTTAATTTTACTTTAATGCAGGTGAGATAATAAATATTACTAGTAGGTATTTTGTGTACACCTAGTGCATTCCTCATTTTTTTTCTATCATGCCATGACTGATATTTGCTTTTTTTCTACGATGATACAGACAAGGTAAAAATCAGTCAAGGCATTATAGAAAAAAACAGTTTCTATACAATTTCTTTCAAATTTGGATATTTTCTTTTTGTGGTTACAATGACACAAACAATTTTTATCTGATCATCTTTAAAGTTGTGAATCTTATCAATCACTATAAAGTGTCAACCAAGTTTAATTTTGATGTAACTAGCATGTGCAATATTTAAGATATGAGGTAGAATTCGGCTGAAATAAAACATTTGTTAGACATAGAAATAATTAGACAGAATGAAGACATTTATACTGCTGATAATAAAAACCAGATGTTAGTAATCATCAATCAGACAATTGTAATACCGTATATTATATATCAAACCAGTGACAAGTGTAATACCGTATATTATATATCAAACCAGTGACTAGTGTAATACCGTATATTATATATCAAACCAGTGACTAGTGTAATACCGTATATTATATATCAAACCAGTGACAAGTGTAATACCGTATATTATATATCAAGCCAGTGACTAGTGTAATACCGTATATTATATATCAAACCAGTGACAAGTGTAATACCGTATATTATATATCAAACCAGTGACAAGTGTAATACCGTATATTATATATCAAACCAGTGACTAGTGTAATACCGTATATTATATATCAAACTAGTGACAAGTGTAATACCGTATATTATATATCAAACCAGTGACAAGTGTAATACCGTATATTATATATCAAACCAGTGACAAGTGTAATACCGTATATTATATATCAAACCAGTGACAAGTGTAATACCGTATATTATATATCAAACCAGTGACAAGTGTAATATCGTATATTATATATCAAACCAGTGACAAGTGCTGTGTTTCTTGCCTTTTTCAAATTTTGCAAATTTCGCCTAAATATGTTACTGCATTATTTATTTAGAAACTTCTTTACAATTCATGCTATAATATTTTATTAGGTACATTGAGATTAATACAATATATGTAATATTAAAGGACACATTTTGCTTAGATATGTTGCTGTACTATTAATTTGTACAATTGTTGTATTATCCTATAAAGGACATTGAGATTAATGCAGTACATATAATATTATTTGAGGAACTTGAATATAAATTAATTTTTTTCTATAAATATGACAACTTTTTAGCCTGTATTTCCCACATACAATGCTTAGATAACATATTATTGCATTGTTTCAGGACTTTTATACTCACTTTTACTATGCAAAAAAAAACATATTACCAGTACATTCATTTGTTTATTCCATATTCTCAATGTACATGGTTGTAATAGTTATGCTATATGCTATAATAGAGGCTAAATGGTCTAATGATGAACAAAATAGTTTTGGTGTTTTTGTTCAAAGACTTATTTATATTCATGCAATATTTGAAATCTAAATCAGTTCCAGGATAACTAGACCAATTTTATTTTATTTTCCATTTAAGTAATAATAATAATAATAATAAATATTTATTCCCCCAATAGTAATTGCATGGTAGTGACAACATAACATGAATAATCAAATAGTTTAATAAGAATAATACAAATAGTTTAATAAGATAAATAAAAGTATGTTGATTTGGAAATCAGAAAATGATTTTTTGTGAATAAGTGAACAGAAGTTGATGACAGTGTCTTATAACAACAGAAAACTAAACAGTAAAAATAAATAAATAAATAAATAGGCAAATTCAAAGTTTAATATTTTGACAATGGTTTAATAGATGTTTTGAATGACCTGAAAAAAAAAGTTTATCTTGTTAAAAATCATATTGTGTTCCATAATTTAGATCCTTTGTATGATATTGAGAACTAGTCAACTACAATTAGGGGAGGTTTTGGCTTTTTTGCTGTGTGAAGTGTAGCAAGTCAAGGTCAATCAAATTGTGAATGAAAGTACTGGTTTCTAAGTTTATGTAGTTTATAAATGTCAAGTACATATATCATTACCAATAACTGCACATAGAGAGAAATTAATTATTTTTCTATGTGATCTTCAGTATGCCCAGGTGGAGTCAAAATCTATTGGTACCTACCATTACACTGGAAATCATAGCTCTGAGTACATCCCACCATTAAAAGTATGCGTTAAGGAATATTTTAAGCTGAACTTTACTGCAAATTATAATTTTAATTCTAATACCAGCAAATGTAAGTATATTTAATGGTTTTATCTCATTATCTTGAGAAAGTTTACAAATGCTCAGTTATGTATCATATAGTGGGCAACAGTGCATGTATAGTGGGCTACAGTGCATGTATAGTGGGCAACAGTGTATGTATAGTGGGCAACAGTGCATGTTTAGTGGGCAACAGTGCATGTTTAGTGGGCAACAGTGCATGTATAGTGGACAACAGTGCATGTATAGTGGGCAACAGTGTATGTATAGTGGGCAACAGTGTATGTATAGTGGGCAACAGTGCATGTATAGTGAGCAACAGTG